TAATACTAGGTAAAAAAAAGTGTAGATGTCTAAGTGTGCCATCCAGATATCTTTCAAATATGAGTAGTGATGGTGCAGAAATAACCGATTCTAGAAGAGCATTCCACAGGGGACACCTGCGGACGGAAAAGAAATGCCTGCAGCAATCCAGGCAGCTGTACTGTTCTGCCAATTTTACAGAGTGATCACTCAAGTTGGTACTACTGCTGAGTTGCAGTAAGGAGCGGCACAGATGATGTGCATCGTACAGAAGTAAGTACTCCATTATTAAATCATCTTGTAAGCAGCACTAACGTCCGCTGAATACCCCCAATCGTTCCAGCCTCTCCTCGTATTGAAGATGATGTATTCCAATAACGTACTTTGATGCTCATAATTGGGTCTGCTCCAATGCACTAAGGACGTGTTTTAGCCCTGTGTGCCAGGCTTGAATTGTATATTCGGCATGAGGACTAACATACACACTAAGTATCTGCGGGAAAATAGAGCGCTATTTGTCTGAAATCCCGTCGTAACAGGCCCGCAGATTGGTTACCCCTTTTGGAGGATTATGTGGATTGCGTGGAACATCCGAAAATCACCCTGAACCAGTACGCCCAAATCAAATTCGGTGGCAGCTCGCTGCAGCACATGTATTCCGAGCATGTAACAGTGGTTGCTCTGTTGTCGTATGGAGCGCACCTTGCATTTACTCCCATTGAATTGCAGTGAATTTTGGATGGACCACTGATGTAACGGGTCTAGATCACTCGGAAAACAATTGCTATTCAGCATTCCCCGGAAGCTTGCACCAGATCTTGACGTCATCGGCAAACATCAGGAAGTTAGATGCACTTGCCTGTGTGCGGTCATTTATATATACCAAAAACAATCGGGGACTTAGCATCGAGTCTTAAAGCACACCACATTCAACTTGTAAGGGGTCAACGAAGGAGCTTTAAACTCTGACCCCAATTACCGCTGAAGGCGATAGTTGGCGAACCTGCTTAAAAGTGGGTCATCGATCCCGTAACACTTTATAGAAATCCAGGTAGAGCACATTAACATCCTGCTCAGCGTCAGCTGACTGGGTCCAGCTACTCAGTGCTAGTAGCGAATTTGATGTGCATGATTGATTTCGACGGGAGCAGTGCTGCTCAGAAATAAAAATGTAAGCGTTTTCAAAATAGCCCACCAGTGCATCGGCTGTGATGGATTCCATCACCCTAGACAGTATAGGGAGAAGGAAAACTGGGTGGTAGTTTAAAGCCTCGGTACTGCTTTCATCTTTGCGAATGAGTGTTATTATTCCAGACTTCCTGATGGCAGGAAATTGGTTCTGGTCTAAGCAGCGCTGAAAGAACTGTGCTAGTGGCTCCATCAGTTGATTGGCTGCGGCTCCTAGGGCCTCTGGACGAATAGCATCGACTCCCGGGGATTTGTGCCTGTGTAGAGTGGTCAGCTTCTACAAGGTAGCTTTGGTGGTAAAGGAGATGTGAATGAGTTCCGGCGGCGGGGCGCTAATAGCTGGAGGATCTTTGCTGGTAATACCTACTGGATGATGGGGCGTATTACATCCGAAGCAGATTGGTTCCTTCCGTTTCTGTTCGTGTTGGGACATCAGCCGTCGTTAGTGGCGGAACTCGTTGCCTCACCTTCCGTATCCCATTGAAATGCTTATGCAGCAGTTTGTGATTGGCGCTGAAGATGTTTGCCATGTTCTGCTGATGCACAGCTTTGTCCCCTTCTGAGGAGTTAAGTGCAGTGGTTTCGTTGCACTACGGAGTTACTCCAGCTACCTGGTGTTGGGGATAATCTATTCTCTCGCCATGCTGCGCTGCGTGTTGCCAGCAGTTTTCGAGTTCTGCTCCTTATGTAAGTAACTGTTTCAGACCGTTTACAAACTTTTGTCTCTGAGGCCTCCGTAACCAAGCAATTGAATTTGCTGACGAACTCGAGCCATGCGACATCAGGGGTTTTCGGCGAGGAACGACCAGATTGCGGCATTGGGGATGTGGGCTAATCTGTAGTATAGTGTGATGGTTCGCGTCGTCTCATGGTTCGCATCGCGTTATTCTGCATAGGAGGTGAGGTTGAAACTCATAACTGCATGATCAATGCGATCTAAAGGGCAGTCCACAACAGGCGCAGCAATCATGTCCTTCGTTGGTAAGCACAAGATCAAACACAGATGGCCTTCTACCTTTTATGTACCGATTGGGCAAAGGGACATGATTTTAAAGCGAAACATTGGTTACAGGCTCTAGCAGATCGGCTTTAAATTGTTTTCCAATCGTTGCGGAGGTTGCCAAGTAATGCACATTGAAACCACCCAGAGTCCAGATGTGAGCGTATCTTCTTTTTTGAGTTCGCCTTAGGACAGTCGCAATTTGCTGGTCCGTTTCCGATGTAGACTTGGGGGACGATACAGCAAGGCTATAAGGCATGTTTCAGACCCTTAACTGCAGACGTCACCAAAGCGAATCAGGGAGCAGCGAATTTGAATCCTCTATGACCTCGCACTATAAGTCGCTTCGGTAATACAGAATTACGCCTCCTACCTTTGTCAGTCTGTCGTTCCGAATGAGTGACATGACAGGTAGAGAAATTCCAACGTCCGTCATTTCAGTGTGTAACCTCGTCTCCGTGATGCCGATGATATCATATTTCTAGGAAACTTGGCGATCTTTCAGTTCGGCCAGCTTAATGATGACGCCATGAGCATTCTTGTGATAGCATGCTAGTTTATCGGTCTTTAGTAGACCACAGGGGTCAACAAAGTCAAGTATGTGGGAGAGTTGACCGATGCGAGGTTGGCCGTCATTTGTTTTTTTGACGAGATTCTGATACTACGTCCGTACTTTTCTCTGTCCAAGGCGAGTACAAATTCTCATCTAGATCTACGACAGTATCGGGTAAAGGAGCAATCCTTGCCGCTAGGTCTGATCTTTCAGATGATTACGTTTGGAAGTCGGCGGGGAAGTTGGTACCTTTTTTCCATTTTATGGACCTGTCCGTGTACCAGAGTTCACTGCGTTATATTCACACTTGGCTAGTCCAAGTTGTCCATATTTGGATTGTTGGGCTCCGAATGCATCTTTAGCTGATTCCAGAGGGGAACATTCACCAAGTCTATATTCTTCGTCTAACGTCGTTAAGCTATCGGATTTCTGTGCAAAACATTTATATATCAAACAGAGTGGCATTCATGCTGTCAGTGCTGAACCTAGAGAATCTTTCCTTATTTTTCATCTATTCCACTTCCTTTGCAGATGGGCATGCATACTTGTCCTATGATGTTTGTGACAAACCAACTTTTAATCCCAGTTGGAACCGTTTTCCCACCGCCGCAAGTGCTGCTCACGTGTGTCTCGCTGGGTTTCATTCAACGTTGGACTTGGTTTATGGTCCTGCTCGTGATTCAACCGCCAAGCCGTCTAGACTCAGGGGTCACGCGTTTGTTCGCATTAGGCTGGTGGATTGATACGAAACATGAAGCATGTTAGTCACACAAAAGACGGAACGGAGATGCACCCAGTTCCGATTGATACCGATTTCGGTAGACTACGCTAGCTGGGTGCTTTGCACGGCTTAACGATAGATGAAAACCATGCACGGATGCGTAACCGTTGGCCGCAATCAGGGTGCATCGACTGGATAGTGTTGGATTAACACGCGTTTAGGCTATTCATACGGCGTGAAGCACGCTATTGAGTGAGACTAAAGACCCGACGAATACCAGGAAAATGAAGCATTTACGCCAGTGAGGTTCAGTAACGACTCCGCCCAAATTGACGAATTGAGTAAAACCTTGGGGTGTTAAGAATACTGAAATAACGTAGTATCCACTTTGCAAAGCTCATAAGTTTGAGTAGAATGTGGGTATGCTCGATGTTGAAAAGCAAGCTGGTGGGAAAATTTTCGAAAAAATCGCTAATACTAAAAGAGTGCCATCGCATGGCAGACAGTACGGCCACTTATGGAATATCCCATCTGCTCCCTTTTTGTGGATAACTGGCAAATTCAAGCGAGTCCACCAGTGTCGTCTGGGTACTTATTAGACCTCCTCCATACTTTGCGATTTCGGTGGAATGGCTCTCGTTCCCACTGGCTCCAACTGCACGCAAAATCAGAAGTCTGCGTCTTGAGGCGAAAGTGTGTAGGCGGACGAGATACTGAATGTGGACGTGCAATGTTGAAATCAGTGGAGAATACAAAACGCAACCCAGTAATGTTTGATTCTGGAAAAGGATAGGTCATCTCCCTGATTGGTGGTTCAGTTCCGAACAACCAATGAGAAATCAGGTGCACACGTCACATGATGAACCTGAGTGTTCTTCAAGTAACTTGGTACTCAAGCTGCGTGTCACCAGCCTACATCGTTTTGTTAGTTAAATAGCGAGTTTTCGTGAGAGATTTTACTTACTTCTGGACGGTTCCCTGTTATGAACGTTCAGTTACCTCAGGTTAGGTTGAGTCTAACCAAGGCAAAGGCATCAACACATCTATGTTTAGATGTTGAAGACAGAACTGTGACATGAAAAGAACTTATGTTAATAAGTTGCACAATGCACTTGAGTGACTGAGGCAACTGGTTCGTGAACATAGTAGTGAGAGAGATCACATTACGTGTGTGTTTACATGCAAACGGCAACTCTTTGCAGGTGCAGCGCCTACTTTAAGGAGTTGCCTTCATGTGTCCAGCTTCAGATATCGCGCTACGCACTGCTGTGTGGCGGTGCCCTCACTCTTCTAGTGAGACACAAATTTATTCTGGGCTCATATTTGTTGTTCACTCAGTACACACATTCAGACACGCCGTGTTACGTGCACGCCCGTACACATATGCATATACACACGTACACCACTGCCCATCCCCTGTTTCATTTCTATATGTATCGGCGTTAGGTAGACATTTGATTAACGCACATTGTTACTCCGTCTAGAGTGGTTCGCCACTTGCGCATACAACAATATTGTTATGTTAATCTTTAGTATAAAATAAAAAACGCCATGCTTACTTCCTGCGGGGGTATTGGGGGTTGTACCATGACAATATATCTTCCAGGAATTCCTGCACGAAGTAGAGTAGCCACACATGTGTAAGCGTCTAATCGATACCCGTAGACGATTAGTTTGTTTTCTTCCCTTATTCCATCATTGATAATATCCTTCTTGTTTTCTTCGCCCACCGGCTCGTTCGATGGCTGATCTGTCACAGCAAAGGCTGCTTGCTGTTTCCTTTGCATAATCGATTTTTTCCATGCCGGTACGTGTAAATTTTTGGGGCCTAAAGCCGGAATGTACTCTTCAGAAATCCAGTGGAGAATACGCTCAGCGTCCATAAAGTCGATAGTTAAGAACACGTTCACTGGCAATTCCGCTATGATGGAAAAACGAATGAATTGGATGTCATTTGTAATTATGATGCAAACATCAACACTACTTCTTGTCAAAAAAGCATGCAGCCACAAGCTCACCAGATTCCGTCTCTCGAAGAACTTCGGGATAAAAGGTAACGGAGTTAGCCATTGCTACTGACCGTTTGGAGCCTAAAAGCGCAAGATGCTGTAATTTTATTAACTGAACTCAGGTAAAAAAACAGTTGTGTCCGATTGGAGTTTAATTTTGGAGTACTAGTCGTGTAATTGGATTGCGATGTGCAATCTCGATGTGAATCTTGTTCGATTCGCTCAAAAAGACCGTACCTCAAGTAGATGGAAATTCGGTGTTGCCCGCTCGAAAACACTACACTCTACGACGCGTTTCGACCTTATTCGATCTGTCTAGCTTAGTGTGCATTCACCGAATTTGGAGTAGTGTGGCTAACAACCGCGATAGGTTTCCTTCTTCACATTCTCATCGCTGTGTTGGTAAGCACTTCGCCTGGGATTCGCCTTTACTGCAACCCACCAACCCCAGATTTCACTAAAATGTGAAGAACCAATGCATTTTATTTCTGCGCTAATTTTAAACCTGAAATAGAATCACCGGATAGCATTTGCCTACTTAATCTTCGCTACTCTGTACTCCTAATCAGGACTTAAGCAGCTTCCTTCACTTATAGTATCATCCATACTTTCACCTTTTCATCTCGCTCTGTGGCATCCATATCCCACCAGATGAATGCAAGATCAGTGTATCCCGAAGAGCTGAAATGAAGCCTGCATTCTGTGAATGCAGCATTCTTGGGAAGAAAATGAACACTCTGACCAAATAAAGGAGAGAAAATAGCGAAAAGGACACTTAATTCGAAAGTATGATGTGTGCGGACACCACCATCCGTTTCGCCTGGGAAAGTCAGCGTGTTCAATGCCGGTAACTTCTGTCCACACTTCTGTGTTGATTACACTGCAACCAGTACCCTTAAGGTGACAATAGTTAGAATGTGTTTTCTTCATGCAAAGACAAATCCTAAACGAGGCAACTCGGCTTAAGTGGTAGAAAATGATACCGCTCAAAAGGATTCATTGTATAAACGACAATTAGCCAGAGGCGTAGCCTAGGGGAGGGGAGATCCGCCCCGGGCGGCATATGACCGGGGCGGCATTTCTAGTACAGCTGATTGTTCATACCAAGTGCAAATTCATCAAAATTACTTCCATGGCTAAAGTGGCAAAAATGGTGATAATCCTGCTGAGACGAAGATGAAATTGGTACTGCAAACGTTGATATCCGAGCAACCGGAAGCGACAATGACAACATGGAGACGGCGAGCAAACTTTGTAATGCTGATGCAGAAGATGCACATGAAGTTGAAGAATTGGAAATGTGACCAAATTTGGCCCGATAATACGCACATCAACCGCTTTTATGGATATCAGTCAGTGACATGTTAAGATTGGACATGAAATGCTCACTATGCTTGTCCGCTTCGGAAGGAATGTTCAGCAGCACGTAAAGCAGTAATTCAATAATTGGTGCTACCTGGAGTTAATACAAGTGCTGAGGTTAGGAAGTTAGCAATGCACTGGTTTTTTGGGATTTGCCAAACTGTGAGAAAAGATTGCGAACACGGATGATGAATTCTTCTTTAAAAGAGAGCCTGTTTTGTTTCGCTTGCAGGATGTTTTCAAAGGAATAACCTAGTTTTATGACTGACGAAGGTTTCAGAAAGTGGTGGAAATTAAATTCAAAACAACGTGAACACGAATCTAGTACATCACGTATTCAGTCATTTCTCAACCTCAAACAACTAGCGATCCGGCTAGTTGAAGGAAGGATAATTGATAGAATGGAGCTAGTACTAGTTAGAAAGAGGTGAAGTGAAACTCCAGCTAGGATACTTGATATCGTCAAGTTTCTCGCCAAGCAAAACATGATACCTTGTGGTCACCGAAAAGACATCCAAGATGATAAAAGAGACAAAGAAAACCGGAAGAATTTGTCAGAATGTGCACATTAGTTGGTCAACTATGAGCTTATTCTTCATGAGCATTTGGTGACCGTTCGGACGGGAAGGAAAATTAGCACTCTTTTTTTGGTCGCCGCATGTTAAAAATGAAATAATGAGCATTTTAGCAAAGCAGCTGAGAAAGCAACTCATTGATCAGATCAAAGAAGGCAAGTATGTTTGCTATATTATCGATAGCACTCTCGATGTATCTCACAAAAATCAGATGAATGAAACTGAAGTGACGGTAGAGGAGTCACTTTTTAGCTTCAGTGAGACTAAGAGAAAAAGAGCAGAGGAGAGTTCTGGACTAGTTTTAAGTGAACCGGAGACAAATGGAATTCAGTTTGATGACTACCGTACCCAGGCATTTGACAATGCTGTTGTTATGACGGCCTGCCCATCGGGGGTGCAGAGACACTTGTCAAATCAACCCAAAGCTACATTTGTGCCTTACACAAACCATGCCTCCGAATTTAGCTTGGGTACAGCAAGTTTATTCGACTGGTATTCGATTGTTCATTCTATTACATTTTTGACACGATAGACCAGTTATTCTCCTTCATTATCATCTAACTATTGCTGGAATGTATTATTCAAGTCACAGATCTAAGCATCAAGTGGCTGTAAAATCTAGAAGGTGTAGTCGAGCGGTCGTTGTTAAGATATACTGGAAATTCATCCCTTCTCTGCAACACAGCACAATAAGAAAATGCAACCACAAGCACAGATGCATTTTCACTTTTCATCTATGTATTGTCGTTTCCGTTTATTTTGTTTCTGAGACTTTGGAGATCTGTTCCCATAGAAAGCAAGAATGCACAAGTATGTGTAAACAAAAGGGCTGGATCTGCGGCAACCTTCCGCCGAGCTTACAACGTAAAGGGTGCTTTCTGCAGAAAAGAAAGAAAACGGAGAGCCTTGCGATGAATGAATCCAAAACACCACGTTAAATTGAGCATATGTATGAAGCGTCGAATCCGCCAAAAGAAACGAATGGACGGTGAAGGATTGTTTGATATACCAGTGGGATTTGATGCAGAGTTAAAACGGGAAATGACGTCTGTCATAAACACTTTACCTGATGAAATGCCATAGATTTTAGTACACTCATCATTCCGCAAACAAATGTGCTTTTCTTACACCGTCAAAGCCGTTTGATGCTATCGTTGTCCTCTTAGCGAACTTGAGGAATTCTTTACTAGGGGGCTTGTAGTATTTTGTGACAGCTTCAAGAAATGACAAACTAAATGAACTTTTTGAACTTTGACTTCATACAGATATATCACCTTGTGGAATCGTCTGCGCATCTTTCTTGCTCGACATATTACCATTGCCAGCTGTGAGAGCGCATTTTCAAAATGCAAGCTAAAAATGAAGTACCTTCAGCCATCACGGATCGGAGTTCTCCCTATAGAGAGATTAGCTGCCAATGGACTGAATGTTTGTTAGTATTATCAATACTATTACCTCAAGTAAGGCGCAAAAAGTGCATCTTGAAATTTCGCCCACGAGTATTGGAACAACACAAAACCTGCACTTTCAGCAGCACTCTAAAATTAGTTCCTTAATTGTTGTTACATGTAATGAAATGAAAACTTGTTTGCAATTGTGTGGGTTTACGGATTTAGCACTACCAGGGTATGGCAAGTTTACGTACGCCCCGGGCAGCAAAAGTACTTGCTACGCCACTGCAGTTGGTTACCTATCCCTTAATACTCCGTGATGAAATTCCTCAGGTGAGTATTTGCTGATTCTCCAAGAGAGCTTTTACGCAGTCATAATCAATGGGGGTTTTAGGCATTAGGTTTACTACCGATGAAAATGACGTACATTTCTTAGAATTGGGATCCTGGAAACCAATGATTTACTTGATGCATCTCAGTCATATATAACCAACTTGCACCATACAACCCATTACATTGCCTCCTAAGAAATCTTCCACTCCGTAACCTTTTAAATGAGCTCAAACAGAAGCAGTTGGCTTCATAAGTGTTCCAAATTTGGTCAAGGAAAATATCAATGCCGCGTAATTTGTGAGTCCTCGGGTTGGGTTAAAATTAAACTTGGATTTTCGGGCGCACAGATAACAGCCATCTTGCCAGATTCGCTAGAAAGCATATGTAATAGTATAGAGCAATGAGTAAGGAAGCTAAAATTTTGAAGGATCCGATGAATGACTTGGATAAAAACTGCGTTAGTGTGCCAAAACTAGGCAGTGTTTCAGTATACTGACTGACTCTAATAGGAGATAAAATACCGCTAAATCGTTTGTTCTGTATCGCGTGTATTCGTGTGGTTTATAGTACCCGTCACAGTTTCCGGTACTTCACAGGGAGGGACATAATAGTATTGTGATTTTTGTAGAAAAATTATGTGAGCTAAGTGTCATTTTCGGTCGTCGTTTAAAAATGGTCAAGTGGAAATAAAAAGCAGAACTCGAGACTTTCCCAAATTTGGCGCATTCCAGCCGGAAGGACATTAAAGGGACATTCTATAGGAATGCAAACGATTACCAGAACTTCGGCGGTTGTATCCTTACAGGATTGGGACTACCTAGCATCTGGTACGCTACTGAAGTAGCCTTACAACCCGCGATAACGCGCACTACATAATCAAAGTAGGAAAGTGACCACTTCCGGAGATGGTACGATTCTCCCACATTCTCCGTCGATCAAAACTGTGTGGTCTCTGAGATAACGTGATCAAAGTTTGCCAAGCACTCTCGGTTTCGAGGACGAATTTCACTTGAGAATGATCATCAACAATAGATAGATGATGAGTAGATGATTCAAAATCCACGAGCACTCTTAGTATGAGATGGCAAGTTAATTAGCATGGAGAAGAATCCCGAATGCCATATCCTGTGAGGCTTTCATCCCCGCTCAAGGCTATCCTGGCTGTGGAGCCCACCAACATTTACCAAAGTTATCCTCGTCCCAAAACTTTTGTTACTCTGATTGATTGCATAGTAGGTCTCCGATTTTGAT